ATCTTCAGAATGCATTTGAAAGCAGCATATTTTCCATCTAGTACATTGATATAGAAAAAGGGAAAAGATCAACAAAGATTTTGGCTTCTTCATTGTTTGATAGTATTCTCTCACCGCCATTGTATATGTAATGCACACAATTCAATATACAAAATGTTTAGACATGAAATATTGTCTTCTTTTATTTCTTTATGTTTCTTTGATGGTAACTTGATATCTCCTGTCTTTACTCTTAAATTAATTGATGTGTGTAGTCCTCAGAATGCATGAAAAAAGTTCTCATTTGTTCTGGCATAGATGCCACTTATTGCTTCTCTTGTTAGTGTGATACAATATCTATATTTAAATGTGAATAATGATACAGCTTTTTGTTGAAACAAGAATGGTTTTCAATTAACAGTTAAGTTTTCATTTAAATTTAGATTAGTTTTAAGTGAACAGTTTAGTTTTTAATTGAAAAGATAGCAAAGTGATACATTGCACATCAGAGTTCTGCTATGATGTATTTGAACGCTTATATTCAACATGTTTTCATGGTAATTGCCAATCTAGGTGATATTGAATTATATTGAAGACTAAATTTCAAATCCCTTAATTCTTTGAGATTATGTCACAGTCTTGAGACACTATTGCAGCTATGACCAGTTTTGCAATTTATTGGCATGATGTGGCACTTCCTTGCTGCAATAGTTATACCAAATGAATATTCAAATTTGATCCACATAAAGCATTCTATACATGCAGAAAGCATAGCATGAATTGAAAAATGTATATTTGACAAGGGTACTTCCTTACAAATTCATATAGAAAGCCTAAACCCAAGATTTCAGCATCCTTGAGAAAAAGATCAAGGATTTCACTTCATGACAAAATCTGTTTTTATGAAGGCTAATGCTAAAAAAGTTAACTGGTCTTTACCTTTATACCTACCATGATGGCCCTATTTACCTGATCTGTGTATTGACAGGTGCTCAGAGACGGCAGAGGAAGGTGGTGGACACATCGTCCACCTATGTCCGCGGGGAGGAGAATCTCCAGGGTTGGAGACCACGCGGAGATTCCCTCATTCTGGAACACCAGTGGGAGCTAGAGAAACTGACCAGACTGGAGATGGTGGGTTATACACCTTGCTATAGTATCTACCAGTGCAGACTTAATGTGTTATAATAACCAGTTAAAAATTTTATTTTGTGATTTGAATTTGAGGTAGACGATATTACCATTTTTTTCTTCAGTACCATCAATTATTGTTTTATCATAAGTATTTCTTATACATAATTATACCTTTGAAATTTCAACATTGTGTATACCATATGATGTGCATGGCATAAACCACTCTCATAATTTTACAATAAACATGATGTCATGAGGAAGCCAATGTGAACACATTAAGAAAATGAGTTGTCACCTTGTATCTGACTTGGTTTAGTTGCAGAGTAACACACTTAACATAATGGGGTAGTGTTGGCAAGATGTGAGTTATAGTTTTAAGTATCACAATGTGAAGTCATATGTCTTCCACAGGTTGAAAAGGCCCGCCACCTCCTGATGCTCCGAGACAAGCTCTCAGAACAGACCAAAGGGAGCGATCTCACCAAGAAAGACAAAGACGTCACCAACATGACACAGAAAGCCAGTGGAGAGAAGGCGAGCACGGAGCAGAATAAGACGGAGAAGGAGATGGTATCTGGAGAGCTGAGGATTGACACCAGTATGGAGGGTGATCTCAGTGAGAAAGAAATGGCTCTGGCATCCAAGTGTGTCCGGTTTATGACCCAGGGACGTCTGCCCTTGAACCCGCTGACCCCTAAGGTAAGACTGGGTTCCCATAAACTTATCGTACTAGCAGGAGTGATCTAACTCTGAGGGGATTCTTGCTAAATTACGTTCAGTTTAAGTGGCTTAAATGTCTGTCACACACACACTGAAGCTGCTAGGGGGATAATAAACATTCGTGCAGGCTTAAACTGAATGCAATTTAGCAAGAATCACCCTAGTGCGATAGGGTTTTGGGAATGGTCCCTAAGTTACACTGCCAGATAAAAGAGATTCCCTTGATTTTCTTAAAGATTTTCAGAATTATTTAAAATTTTCATTGTAAGGTGATAGCATAGATACAGAAGTCATCATAATGTACCTAATGTATGTTGGGTTTTGTCATTTATCCAAAAACGTGTACTGATAAGGCATAATGCTTACTAAGAAAGTGAATGGAACAGAAAGTTAGAGAATAATTTGTAACATATACACCACAGGTGTCTGATTTTTACCAAAGTGGATTCCAAGGACAAAAGACCCAAAAGTAGTGTATGCTTGCAGTCGTATGTGGCAAGTGTTTGCAGGATACATTCTGTCCAGATCTTCACATCTGCCATTGTAAAATATAAGATTTAATCTTTTTTATTGAATTAGAACAAAAAGTTTGTTTGCTTTTGAGTTCAATTGTAAGCACATTTCATTCATTCAGGTAGCTTTGAAGTATTAGTGAAAAACAAGTCAAAATTAATATTATTATTGTAAATGTTACATCCTCCTGTTCCAGAACACCGAGCCCCCAGTGTGTGACCTGACCCCTACTGATGGCAGTGATGTCCAGTCCAGCTCAGAGTCTGATCGGATGACCAACAGTTTGGCCAGTAGTAATGCCTCAGAACCACTCTTCAGGTAATTGTTAAACATGAACCAGTCCTTCAAGTACACAGGAGTTTTGCTGTCTTGTGTCTTATTTTATCTCCAGGGAGCCAGGGGTTGTATCTCAAAAGCATATGCATGTAAAGGTTTCTGTTGGGGAGGGGGGGGGGGGGGGGGGNTATTAATTACTGTAGATTTTATAAAGGTTGTATTTATTACTGTAGGGTTTATAAAGGTAATATTTATTACTGTAGGGTTTAAAAAGGTTATATTAATTACTGTAGATTTTATAAAGGTTGTATTTATTACTGTAGGGTTTATAAAGGTTATATTTATTCCTGTAGAGTTTATAAAGGTTACATTTATTACTGTAGGGTTTATAAAGGTTATATTTATTCCTGTAGAGTTTATAAAGGTTACATTAATTACTGTAGATTTTATAAAGGTTATATTTATTTTGTAAAGGTTATATTTATTACTGTAGAGTTTATAAAGGTTATTTTTATTACTGTAAAGTTTATAAAGGTTATATTTATTCCTGTAGGCCCATGACACTGGACGTAGGGAAGTCCTCCTCCAGTTACTCAATGTACTCCATCGCCTCGGAGGCGTCAGATCGGTCCCCAATGAAAGGCGAAGAGCTCCTGATCCCGGAGGTGGAGGAGATTCGTGTCAGCCCAATAGTGTCCAGGAAAGGCTACCTAAACTTCCTGGAGGAGAAGACCAGTGGTTGGATCAAGAGATTTGTGGTCAGTACATGTAGTTTGTTTGTTTGTTTGTTTGTTTGTTTGTCTGCCATGTGTGATGTGTGCCATTGCCTGCCATTGGCTTATTCTTTCCAGTGATGCGATTGGTTAGTTTAAATTTTAAGCTGATTTATTTGTTTTAGAAAATGTTATTGGTCAGATAGAACATGCAAATGGTTTATTTCTTTAAAATGAATTAATTGGTCTTTTAAAATGGAGAGGTGTTTTGCTTTGGTTGTTTTTTATGAGCAGAAATGATCATTATTGGTGAATGATAAAGAATTGAATAACAAGAAAAAGAAAGAGAAAAAAGTGGGGATGTTTTTGTTAAATGTATAGAATGTCTAAACATAGATTATTGAACAGTCTGTGCATAATTTTTTTTAAATTCATTGTTGAACCTACATTCACATTAAACCTACTAGTATACTACAGCAGATATGGAGAACATCTCACATCCATGCCTGATTAGGCCTACTTGTTAAATTTTGAAATTATAACATTATTGCAATAAATTTAATTATTAAGATAAATTACTATAACAATAACATTTCCCTCAATACCTGTGTTCCAGGCTGTACGTAGACCCTATGTGTACATCTATAACAGTGAGAAAGACCCCGTGGAGCGTGGTCTCATCAACCTGACCACAGCAGAGATCACCTACAGTGAGGACCAGCAGGCCATGCTGAAGGTCAGTTACAGCCTGGTCACTAAATTGGACTTCACCAGTAAAAAAAAAACATTGTGCTGCCTTTGATGAGGCAACCCCTAACTAGGGTTGGACAGGGTGGGGCATTTCTCTCCAGTTTTAGTTATAGCATGTAGTCACTGAAGGCTCTCAAACTCCCCATCCTCCTTATGTGATTTGGTGCACTGTATGAGGTTACCTGTTCTTTGAATTATTTTTGAATAATTCATTTATTTCTGCATCTATATATTTTCCACAATGACTTTGACCCTATTCCAATGACAATTCCTATCCAAGTTTGATAATTTTTCCTGTGGGTATTTTCAGACATTGAACACTTTCTCAGTGATGACCAAGCACCGTGGCTTCCTAATCCAAAGTCTTGATGACAAAGACTTCCATGACTGGCTCTATGCCATAAACCCACTTCTAGCGGGACAGATCAGGTAAGTAGATTTTATGCCATAAACCCACTTCTAGCGGGACAGATCAGGTAAGTAGGTTTTATGCCATAAACCCACTTCTAGCGGGACAGATCAGTTAAGTATAGGCTTTTAGTTTGAGCACTTTTTAAATCAAGTGACATAGCCTTTGCAGTGGTCATGGTATTACTCATGTAAAAATTAAATATGTCACAATTACTCATGTAGAAATTAAATATGTGACAAAACACTTATAGATGTATGGTGATTTATGTTGTTTATTCATTTTTTTTTCAGATCAAAACTTTCCAGGCGGAAACTATCAGTTAGGACTTGAACTGAGAAGTGCCATTTTCAGAATTTTTCATAAAAAACTGATTCTCAAAACAACACAAGGGGATACTCTATTTTAAAGAAAATATCTCTATAAGCACATATCAGCAGCTGAAAATTCCCATGTAGATCAAGAAAATTCCCATCAAGACTTAAGAAAATTCACCATAGTCTCAACATTTCAAGGTGCGAGTAATAAGACATTTGATGAGGGCAACCTGCAGCCCCATCTACAGTGAAGACGTGTGTATAAAGGTTATTTTCAAAAATTAACAGGATTTTCACATCACTTTTAAAAGTGCAAATGTACTTGATCCACCCCAGCTAAAGGTGCACTTCATGGTCTGTCTTGTGAAAGCTATTGCAGCGCCATCTTTCACGATTGATTGAGGTGCTTTCTTTGGGGCAGCAGCAGTGATAAAGGCATTTAAAGGAAGCAGGTTTTGTGGATTCACAATTTTTGTGACTAAATAGTGAACAGAACACTGTTACCACCAGGTATATGTGCATATGAGGATATTGAAATTTGAATGGAAGGATTTTCTTGGGACAGGACTAAGGAGAGCACCTGCAGCGCCATCTATACACTTGTGCCAGGAAAAACTGGCACCCTCTACACATGGAACTTTTACAGCAGATCTGGATTCTGGTTGAAGGACAATGCGTTCTTTGGTTTTGTATATGTAGAAGGTACAGGAAATTTTGCAGCAATTTTAGGAAAAGTTTCATAGTAGAGCAACCTGCATTTATTCTTGATATAATGGTAGGATGTTACCAAGGAGATCAAGGTACCGTAGAACTTCAGCTGGCATAGACTACAAGAAACTGAACAAAATAAATGATAATTTACCCCTTTATCTTTTACTAGATTCTGGATTACTTCAGTAATGCAGCAACAATGCAAAGAACTTGCAAAAATGTCAACTTACAATATGACATGCTTAACATCACAAAAAAAGACAAAATAATTATTATTCTATCATATGGTATTAATGTCTCATTGGAGTTATATCAGTTGTCTTTTGACTGGTGTTACTATACATAAAGAGGATATTTGTGTATAATTATCATCATATAAAGCATGTCAGTATTTATTGTGCTTCTGGATGTTTGGGAGTTACACATGACATTTGTTTTGTCTGCCATGTGTGATATGTGCCATTGCCTGCCATTGGCTTATTTCTCTCCTTATTTGGTTAGTTTGAATTTTCAGCTGATTGATTAGTTTCAGAAAATCTTATTGGTCACAATGGTCAGATAGAACATCCAAATGGTTCATTTCTTTCCAATGCATTAATTTATGTTTTAAAATGGGGAGATGTTTGGCTTTTACAGACATTGGTGTCGTGGCACTTTATGGCACGATTGGTTGGCAGAAACATAATAGAAAATAAGCAGGCATGTGATTGGACAAAATCATGATTCTATTTGAAAAAAAAATTGAAATGTCATGTAAAATTATTCAACTATGATAGTGTGAGTGCATAAATATAAGAGACATTTTGAAATATTATACCTCAGTTTCAAGGTACACAGCTTGTGTATTTGCTAGCTATTGATGTGCAAAGTATTTTGTGTGTGATGTCACTTGCTCCACTGGTTGACTTTGAAGGCTCAGATGCTCAGTTCAGACACTAATTATAGCTAAACATGGCCATTTGGAACTTTGGATTTGTCTAACCCTTTCTCAGGCTTATGACATGCCCAAATGCAACAGCAAAGATAATGAAGTTATGATCTTTCAATATGTTTCATCATGCAAACTTGCAATTCATCTGAAAATAGAATTTTGAATATACAAGATAAAAAGATGTTCACTGATTATTTTGACAAAGCAGTAGTGTGTGTGTGCTGTGCATCCTGATCCCAGTTTCAAAGTCTTATCTGGAGGAGAAAGAATCACAATAACATCAGTGCTAAAAAAGCTTATTTTACTCAAAACAGTTGTATAAATGTATAGTTTGAAGAAACCAGATTTCTTGTAGTTTATTGTGATATTTGTGTATAGATTTTTTGTTGTATCACTTATTAATACTGTTGTAATAATGTACATATCATAACCACAATAACTGTTCTAGGTACAGTGAAAAAAAATACTGATAATTAGCCAAGACTTAATCATTCTCTTTTGTCAGTATAAAGAATGGCGTTAGGTTTTTAATTGAAATAGTAGAGGAACTCTTCCTCTTATGCCGTTTCATGGACTCACCAGCTATTGCATAGAATGCATACCATGTGTGGGAAGGACTATGAAAACTTGGCCCAATTACAAGTGAAAGATTTCCATACAAGATCTAAAAAATTGATCATTTGTTTTTATGTTAAGGTTGATGATTTTCTCATTCCATTACCACAATACAGTATAGGATGACTGCCCCATATTATCTATTCAACACATGGTTAAGTTGATAGTTGTACACATACAGTGTCTATTTGGTTTGAGAAACCAGCTGTCAAAAATGACATAGTAATTAAATGGTGTGTGTTGGTTATAGTATATAGCTTTCACTGGCGCCGAGCATGTGAAAGAATAATAGAAAACTGAACAAAAATGAGCAGGCCTCAAATTAAGCCATATTATTAGTTAAACAAGCTAGTACATTTTGTTAGTCTTTAGATTTTAATAGTTTTTCATCAGAGGCAAAGTGCAAATCAAGTTATTGTACATTAGATTTAGATGACAGTGCTGACGAATAGTATGAATTGTGTCTTAGTACTGTCTGTGTTATTTTAGTCTCTTACGCAAGTGGTAAGATGCATCTTAGTCTGTTTTATATTTTTATTGGTGCTTACCTCTTTTCTCAACAAGCCTGATGTAAAAAATGTATTTAGTTTTATCAATCTCTTTAATATTGTAAGTATTTCAAAGCTTTCATCTTTTGAGGTGGGTTATATGATAAAGGTAATTTTTTATTCCAAAAATGACATCTCTTTTATCAACATTGTTTACAAAACTTTGGATGGATTTACCAAGAAAATACTGATTGATATTCACTGCAGGTTATAGTGTGTCCTGGATGATTTAAGTCATCAGAGATTAAGGTTTCGGTTATCATTTAGGAAATATTTAAAATGGGGTCGGGGGTTGGTGCGATTTGAGCGGTTTCCATTGAACAATGATGTAAATTTCTTCTTACTTTAATTCAAAAATTGAAACAAGGATTTGTATTTTCAGAAGGCCTTATTCTGTGATGTGACAATTCATGAAGAAGGTTCTTATTTTGACTTGACAGTTACTGGGTATTTATGTACGACATTTTTGCTCAAATCTTTTTATTCGGTTACATTTTTGCTGCATATTGCCATTTTTACGTCTGCGGTGTCTATGTAGAGATATTCCTATCTGAGCTATGTGCAATGTTCTGTTCAAACGCCACAATAAAGAGATAGTAGTATTCATGTAACAGAAAACATGACCCTCGTATAGGAGTTATTAGCTAACACCTTATCTGAACATTTAATAC